GTCTAAGCCCCATCCTATTCTATCAGGTAGGCTTTCCTCCGCTAGGATGAAACCCATAAGTCTTTCTTTTGCCACCATCGGTAACTTGTCTCCCAGAATCTCCCATTTCCACCCTCGCTGATCATCTCAGAAATCCCAAATGTTTGCATAGAGCACCGGCAAATCAAGTGGTGAAGTGAGCTGGTTATATAAAGGCTCGGGCGTGATCCATGAGTCCATCCAGAACCTAGTCGTCTTGCTGTTTTGGACGATTAATTTTAGGCCTTTTTCCACTAAATCTCGCGCGGCTGTTATGTCTCGCCACACATTTGAAAACTTGCGTTTGTTGGTCGCCTTGCCCTGATTCCCCCCACTCATCCTGTACTTTGTGCTAAGAGTTCGTGCCCAAATGCTATCCGCCCCCGCCTTGAGCCGCCAACCTAGTTTGGCCATGTATGCCATGTTCATCTCATGGAGGCGTTTGACTCCCAGCACTCTGGCATCCTTTCCGGTCGTGACCAAATCCCAGCTTGCTAGGCTCAACTTGTTCTCCGTTCCTTTGACACCCCAAATGAACTTCCTCATCCGTTTCTCAATTTCCAAGCAAATACCTTTGGGAAGAGTAGCCGTATGCATTGTATAAGTAGGTATAGCGTTCAAAACCGATTTGGCCAAAATGACCCTACCTGCCAAAGACAAAGTTTTCGCCTTCTACCCTTCGAGACGTCCCGAAATTCTTTCCAATAAGTCCGAGTAGGTTGCAGTGGTTACTCTACCATGAAGAGCAGGCACCCCTAGATATTTGCCCAGGTCAGTGGTTCGTGGGATGTTCAGGCGACGTGCAATGTCATCTGCGTAACCTGGGTCCAAGTTTTTTGAAAAGAAAACCTGGGACCTGCTCAGACTGATCTTCTGTCCCGAAACCCTGCAGAACCGGTCCAGGCACTCTGTCACAACCTCTACCTATTTGTCTGATGCCTCCGTGAAGAGGACCATGTCATCTGCAAAACATAAGTGTGTTAGTACAGGACCATTAGCAGCTAGTTTTATACCTTTCCATTTGTTGAGATCGGCCGTGGCTACAATTGACTGACTAAGTCGCTCCATGCACAACACAAAAATAGCCGGCGACATAGCATCGCCCGGCCAAATGCCCCGTTCCGGGTAGAAAGGCTCCAGGCGCTCCCCATTCCAAATGACGGAGAGCCTAGAAGTTTGAATGCATGTCATCATGAGGTCTCTAATCGTGCCAGTAAAGCCCGCTTTGTCCAAAGTGACCCGAATGAAGCTCCAAGACAACCGATCATAAGCCTTTTCGAGGTCAATTTTGATCGTCATGTAGCCCTTCGTGCCCCGCTTTTCTTGCATGGTGTGCATGACTTCCTAAAGATGAGGACATTGTCTGAAATCTGACGCCCTGGGACGAAGGAGCTCTGGAAAGTCCCCACGGTCCTGGGTAGGATGAGCTTAAATTTGTTGGTTATCGTCTTCGTAATAATCTTATAGCTGACATTGCAGAGACTAATAGGTCTGAATTGTTTAATGTCCTCTGGAGCCTGCACTTTTGGGATCAAAGCAATAAGGGTGTCATTTATCTCTGCTGGAATGGTACCCGTCACGAACGCCTCTTGCACCAGCTTGAAGATGTCCCCTCCAATTTGTCCCACATGTGTTGATAAAGCTCTGCTTGGAAACCATCTGGCCTAGGTACCTTGGACAACATTTCTAGATTTCCGAAATGTAGCCGTTGCGTGATAATATGTTGTATTCCTGTCTCCAGAGTAAATCCAATCCTCCCTGGATTTCTGGAACCAAATAAGTTCCTCCTAATGCAGGGTGTCTTCGAGGTCCTCATTAAGTTTCGCCTCGAGTTTGGTGAGGCCTCTATGCTATCTATTTGCTAAAATCTTTTGAATTCCATTAATCCTGTTCGTCAAGTTCCTTTTTCTTTTGAACATGTTACCAAAGGATTTTTTATTCCATCTCACCAACTCATTCGTCAAAGTCCGTGTGTTCTCTAAAATGTTTCGATCAGACCTCTAGGTGCACTCAACTACACCATGCACATCAGCGTGGGTAAGCCAAGCTGCTTGGAAAATGAAAGGTGCCGGCGCTAGCTGGTGACGTCTCCCTTCCACCTGTAATAATAAAGGCACGTGGTCAGAGGCAATCCGTGCAAAATGAGTAACACACGCACCTGGGAATCTAGTGCGCCAGTCCGGGTTGCACATAGCTCTATCTAGCCGTGCCCCCTTGAGATTGTCCTCTTTCCCGCCCTTCACCGAAGTGAGTTTGGACCCCGAGAAGCCCAGATCGATGAGCCCCTCGTCTTAGACCCAATTCATGAAGTCCGAAGTGCGATGTGCTGAGAAAGCATTGTAGTTGCTTGTTTCTTTCTTGTTGAGGACCGAATTAAAGTCCCCTGCTGTGAGCCAAGGCCCCGTAACACCCTGCACTGTTTGTCTCAAATCCTTCCACAAACGCCGACGCAGATGATGCGTCGGGCTCCCGTAAACTGAGGCTAGATGCCACGGCGGCTGGTTATCTGACATCACCTACAGGATAATGAACTGTGGGTGAGTACATTGGACCGTGACCCGCACCGGGTTCTTCCAAAAGACCCAAATGGAGCCGCTGAAACCAACAGCTTCAACCCGAACCCAGTAAGCAAAATCCGTTTTCTTGCAGATTTCCGTCGCATGAGCCCCGAGACTTTTGGTTCAAAGAGCACTAAGATGCTTGGTCTATGAGTCTGAATAAGAAAATTAAGGGCGCGGAGGAAACGCTTGCCTCCTGCACCCTGACAGTTCCAAAATATGCAATCCATAAAAGAAACAAGGGGAATAAATGAAACAAGCCCAAAAACAAACTAAAGAAAGGAAACACACGTAGGGGTGCTCATTGAGCTCCCCCGTTACCTCCACTCCCGCACTGCAATATACCCTCCTCGAGGTCCATGACCACATCCCCCTCGTCATCAAGCCGTTCTGGTAGGTCCCCAAAATGTTCTTTAGATGATTGCCACACCGGCGAAGGGGCCATGTCACCAGTGTCGCCCACATAAACTCGTGTTGAGCTTATCACCAAACCTCCCTGTTCACCCCAGACGACAACATGCTCAGTTTCCTCCGCCGCTGTCTGGAGGAGCTGCCACCTTCCCGCCGCGGTCTGGGTCCAGAAGTCGAAGCGCCATGAGACTGCCCCTGAGGATGCAACGGCTCATTCACAATTTGCTTCTCCATGGCTATGATGATTGGCCTCCTGCCTCTTTCTCCTCTAGTTGCTTGAGTGTGGCCGGTAAGCGGCGTCGTCTGCCTCTCTCAACAACCGTAGCTGGTCGCCCATCCCTCCTCTCCACTCCCGGTGACCCTGTATGTCCATCAACTGCTTCCTCCACCGCCACTTTGTTATCTCCTGTAGCAAAATAGCGCAAACTAGTCGCGTGAATCCCAAGTCCATCTCTGTTCTTCGCACCCCCCTGTTACTCCCTGGACGCTGGTTCCTGCAAACGATGACACTGGCGACCTGCCCTTCCTCTGAGGCGCGAGGGTCCACTCTCTAAATGGCACCTTTGGGTCTTCGGCATCATTCGCCACTTTGGAAGTGTTCACAGTATCAGCCTGGTTTGTGTCCATACCCGCAGCATCCTTTCCATGCTCCCATGATGGCTTCTGTACCTTCGGGCAGGTCTCTTTGGCGTGCCCGTACAGACCACATGAGAAACAAACCAAATGCATGCCTTCATGCGCTACATTTCTAACCTTTCCCTCATAGGTGAATTTCGATATAAGGGGTTTCCTCATATCGATCTCCATTCAAATCCTGGCGAACATACCTCGAGACACTAGGTTGGTGGCCTGGTCGATGCGTATCGTCCGGCCGATTCGATTCCCGAGCTTCCTAAGGAATATCATATCATAGTATTCCACTAGGATACAAGGAACCCATGCCCAAACCAAAACCTTCTCTGTAGTGTCGTCCATGGGATCAAAATCTGGTTCCCATGGTTTCACGATCAAATAGTGATCCAGCACCATCCAGGGACCTTCATACATCGCGAACTCTAAGTCATCAATAGAGCAAAAATGTACCAGGTAGTAGTCATTTCCAATGGCTATCAAATCTGTAAGTGTACATATTTTATACACATTAAACCTATGATTGGATAATTTATTTTTATAAGTCATAGTCTTAGGTTTAAACAAAAACTCTTGGACCATTGTTATTCTTCATAAGAGACTTTTTTGGGTGGTTCACAATTAATGTCTATGAAGAGGAAGTCAGCTATGAATGTATGGTTCAAGCATATTATGGGAATCTAAATGAAATGAATGGAAGAGAATGAATCAAGCATGAAATGAGGCAAGTCTGATGGAAGGGATATTGCTATAAATAGGAAGGTTACTAGTTGTGGAAACTTGCCATTTTTTAGAGTTACTATTCTGAGAAGTGAACATAGCTAACGAATTGAGAATTAATTATATTATTATTCTACTGAGCTACTGTCTGCGCCTGACTCAGTTGAAGTATTGTTCGAAGGTTATCAAGGCATGCACGTCACGGTCCAGGTTGGATGTTAGGAAGGTTGTTTGTAGTATGGTAGTTAAGACTGTGAGAGTTTAATGTACCGTTCTATTGTAAAACTCCTTGGTGAACATCAATAGTGGATTGGGCTGACGTGGGTTGCCCCGCAGACGTAGGAGAAGCGCTCCGAACTGCGTAACAAATCTTTGTGTACTTGATTTACTTACTGCTTTTATTTTCTGTTATTTACTATCTTTAAATAACAAAAATTAATCGATCAAAATCTAATATAAGTTTAAAAATCAAGTAGAAGTTCAGGTTCAGCTAATTTAAGGTTCACAGCATAATTTCAATTGGTATCAGAGCCTGGAGGCTTAAGTTACTAGTCTTTCGATCTGGCTTTTACGTGTGCCTTATTTTTTAGTGTTCTTCGGTTTTTAATACTGTTCTTCTTGTTATTACTTTGTTCAATCTCACTTGTTGCTAAGTGTTTCAGAATGGAATGGTTCAGGCCACTTCCCCAGCTTACAGGTGACAACTACACATACTGGAAGGCTCGAACAAAAACTCAACTTAAAGCTCAAGGAGATCAGATTTGGCGGGCGGTACTGACTGGTTGGACGCCACCTACAAAACCTGGAGAAAAAGACGGTGATCCACCAGTGATAAAACCTGAAACCGAGAGAACTCAAGTTGAAATTACCACTGCTGGATATAATGATAAGGCTCTTGACACAATCTATTCCTTAATGCATGACTATCAATTTTCGTTGGTTACAGGTATTGATTGTGCAAAAACTGCGTGGAAAATACTCGAAACCACCTATGAAGGTACGTGTTCAGTCAAACAGTCAAAGCTTCAGCTGGTAAAGACTGAATTTGAAGAACTACGTATGAACGATGACAAAGATATTGCGAGTTTTCACGAACGCATACAAGAGTTAGCTAATCGAGCAACAATTCTTGGAAAACCTTTCTCCCAACAAAAACTTGTCAAAAAAATCCTAAGATCTTTACCTCCGAGATTCAGGATGAAGGTAACCGCTATTCAAGAACATGATGGCTGGGAGAACAAATCAGTGGCTCAACTAATGGGCAATCTTCGAACCTACGAAATGGAAATTCTTACTGATCACACCAAAAATCAAAAGACAGTTGCATTTGTCGCTGAAGAACATGATGATACCGCTAACCCAGACGAATCAGGTGATGATCCAGTTACATTTTTAACTAAACAATTTTCTAATTTTTTGAAACAAATATCTCAGAAGAATTCACAAAACAAAAAATTTCAAAAAGGAGCAAGCTCAAACATGTCGAAAACTGATACAAAAACTAGCATGTCAAACTCAAAACCTGCTGCCTCACGTCCAGCCCGCTCCAGGGAAAAATCAAACAACAAAGGAATAAAATGTTACGAGTGTGAGGGATTTGGTCATGTTCAAGCTGAATGTCCAACTTATCTTAGGCGAAAGAAGTCCATGACAGCCACAACTTGGAGTGATGACGAACCTGAATCAGAAGCTGCTGGCTCTGCGCAGAAGAAATGTTCGGTAATTTTGTAGCTTTTACTACTAGAGTTGCGACATGTTCAGAACCTGGAGATGCATCTGACACGGAGGGTGGTGAATACAACTCAGCGGAAGACCATGAAAAAATATCAGATTTATCTTATGAAGTAGAGTTTAACAAGTTGTATCCCAAGTGGGAAGCATTACTTAAAGCAAATCGTATAGTGTCTAGTGAAGTTAGAGTATTGCAAAATGCTGTAAACGTGTTCAAAGGTCAAGTAGCAGATAGGGACGCATTAATTAAAGAATACACTGACCGAGAAGACAAACTGAAACAGGAAGTCAAGGAACTGAAGCTGGAACTGAGTACTTATAAAAAGAAAATCCAAATGATGGATACCACTTCAACTCTTTATGAAATTCTTGGTTCTGGACGGCAATCATGTGCAAGGTTTGGTATTGGCTTTACTGGATCAACCAACAAAGACAAAACTACTTTTGTCAAGACATCTGATCCACGTCCAGAAGATACTCCTGAGTCAAGCACAGCTAAACAATATCGTGAATCAGCGCCTACCACTAGCTTATCATGGCGAACATGAGGTACAGTACGTAACAAGTTTAACTATAAGGTATATAATCCAGTGTGTCACTATTGCAGGTTACGAGGACACATCAGACCTGAGTGTTATTACTTCTAAAAAGAACAAAGGGCCAAAAAATATAGCCATAAGTACATTACTCCATTTATCAAACAAGTATGGGTAAAGAAATTCGATTATATCAGTTTTGTATCCTTTCACGCTAAAAATGCAGGTAGGGATGAAAAATGGTACTTCGACAGCGGTTGCTCACGTCACATGACTGGAAACACAAAATTTCTAAGTGACATAAACACAAGCAACGGTGAAGTAACTTTTGGTGATGGAGTCAAAGGACAAGTAACCGGAGTAGGTACTCTAAATGTTGCAGGTCTACCGAAGTTGAAAAAGGTGCTACTGGTAAACGGACTCCATGCCAACCTCATAAGCATTAGCCAACTTTGCGACCAAAACTGGAATGTTAGCTTCACCAAAGACAACTGTAGTGTTATGGATAATGAAAAACAATGTGTTATGGAAGGTAAGCGATCAACAGACAGCTGCTATATTCTAACAAATGATATCCTCTGTTGCAGGTCCATCATAAATGAGTCTGAGTTGTGGCATAAAAAATTAGGGGGTCAGCAATCCAGCTAATTAAATTTCTTTTTGCCCGTGTTAATAAAATTTCAGGTATACTAATTCACAAATAAATATTACTTAGTGTTACTAATATTTTTTTTCTCTCGTGTGCAGATTAAGTCTTAAGGCTAAGCAGTCATAAAAACTATCTTGAATTCACGTTTTAAAAGCCAAGTGTTCAGGTCTTATTAGTTTCTTATCTATCCACCTTATCTTTATCTTGAATTCCCTAAAGATGATGTTTGTTTTGATATTATTGTGCATATATCCTTTTGATCATGAATTATCCATTCTAGTTTATATATATATATATATATATATATATATATATACGTGTATCTCTGTATTCATTAAATCATCAGGTACTTTTAATCTTTCAGATTCTTTCTCTTTACTTGTTCATTTATTTTAAAGTGTTCGTTTAATTTGCTTGGGTTATTCTTTTGTTTTGTTATTGGCTGTTTCTGTGTGTTCACTAAATGTCATATCTACGTTGTGTTGGTTGTTTTTGATAATTCTTTGATTATGCCTTTTTGTTGGTGTTTCCAGTGTTAAAATATGTTTGCTTGAATGATAAATTTGGTGCAATTTGATTAATGTGTTTATTTCTTTGTGTTATTTGTTTGGTCTGGTCATGACCGTGTGTGTTTTTGTTTGGTTGTGTGTTTTCCATGCTATCTGTTGTGATTCTGTGCCTGAATCATCTTCTTGTCTTGTTTGACCAAAATTGAAAATTTCTTGAATTCTTGTGCTTCTTTGTTATTTGCTAAGTCGTTTTCAAGATTGCATGTACCCTGTTCTGTGTTTCTCTTTTCTATTTTCACTTGTGCAGGTTCATGTGGCAAAAAATTTCGTAAAAAGCAAAAAGGAACTATTATGGAGCTATTCTCTCTATTTCATCGTCAAGCAAAAGTTATCTGGTATTAGTTATTGGATTCTCTTTATATGGTTTCTCTTATTGGCTTTAGTGGATATTATTGGATATCGGATTATCTTTTTGGTTGAAAATATTCGGATTATTAGATTATCCAAGTTACCATATTATTTGGGTTATCATATCCTTTGGATTATCATGTTATTCAGACTCTCGTGTTATTGGTGGTTTGATAGCTTTTTATAAAGAATATCTGAATGGTTTTTCTACTATTGCGAACATGGAATGAATATGACAACACTACCTTCTTGGTATATGATAATTACTATTGATCAATATGGATGAATGTTGGATAAGCTTCTTGCTATTTTACGGGAAAGAAGGTCGGGCACCCCGTCAACTCACTAGTCTAATCCACTGATTTGATGTTCACCGATCATTTTTGTCACTTATTTGGCAAAAAAAGGGGGAGTAATAGAAAGGAGCTTTTGAAGAAAGGGGGAGTTTTATGAGAAATGGGAGTTTTACTTGGTTAACTATTTTGGAATATGAAATAAGGGAAGATACAAGAAAGGGGGAGTAGTAGGAAAGCATGATGACTGCAGCATATGGATTTTTTTTTTTTAGTATGGCTTGTTTACTACTCTATTATGCTACACTTCTTTTGGTAATCTCTGACTTATATATCTCTTCAGTTTATGACTATTATTATCAGTTACTGGTTATCATTATCTAAACAGTAAATCTATTGTTATTGGATGATCATCTTTTATTTAATCTTTCTATTGGTGATCAACTATTCTATCTGAATATTGAAGTTTTCGGGGTTCATATACAGCACACATATTCTCTGAAAATTAATACTATGAGTTCATGGAACATGGTCTACAAGAGTTTTTTGGTAATAATTTTTTCTGACCTTAGGTTATTGTATGGCACATATACTAAGGGTTTTTTAATAAAATTATTGTATCTTTCTTGTTTGCCCAAAGTGTAAGATGCTATAGTTTTTGCCAAATAAATTGCCAGAGGGGGAGATTGTAAGTGTACATATTTTGTACACATTAAACCTATGATTGGCTAATTTATTTTTATAAGTCATAGTCTTAGGTTTAAACAAAAACTCTTGGACCATTGTTATTCTTCATAAGAGACTTTTTTGGGTGGTTCACAATTAATGTCTATGAAGAGGAAGTCAGCTATGAATGTATGGTTCAAGCATATTATGGGAATCTAAATGAAATGAATGGAAGATAATGAATCAAGCATGAAATGAGGCAAGTCTGATGGAAGGGATATTGCTATAAATAGGAAGGTTACTAGTTGTGGAAACTTGCCATTTTTGAGAGTTACTATTCTGAGAAGTGAACACAGCTAACGAATTGAGAATTAATTATATTATTATTCTGCTGAGCTACTGTCTGCGCCTGACTCAGTTGAAGTATTGTTCGAAGGTTATCAAGGCATGCACGTCACGGTCCAGGTTGGATGTTAGGAAGGTTGTTTGTAGTATGGTAGTTAAGACTGTGGGAGTTTAATGTACCATTCTATTGTAAAACTCCTTGGTGAACATCAATAGTGGATTGGGCTGACGTGGGTTGCCCCGCAGACGTAGGAGAAGCGCTCCGAACTGCGTAACAAATCTTTGTGTACTTGATTTACTTACTGCTTTTATTTTCTGTTATTTACTATCTTTAAATAACAAAAATTAATCGATCAAAATCTAATATAAGTTTAAAAATGAAGTAGAAGTTCAGGTTCAGCTAATTTAAGGTTCACGGCATAATTTCAAAATCCAAATTACTTTTCGGTTTTCACATGGTCGTTAACCGTTGGAGCATGTATTCGTAGCTAACCCGCCTGCCCAATACCTTGATGATAATTGCCTTCTGTCACGGAAGCCCGTATCCTCTCCACCTCCACTTTGGTTAGCTGGATTGTAGGACACAAAGGATCATCCTCCTCTTCCGCTTCGATCTCTGCATGGATGTCAGCCTGAACAGATAGGCCTTGCTGTTGCTCTTGACTGGTCGCGATCCGCCCAGTCACGCTCTCCGCATATGTGCGTCTATGCGTCACTGGCTCATTATCCATTTCAGGCACCCTAGAAGGCACCTCAGAAATCTCGACAGCTGGATCTATAATATTTATCAATCAGCCTTTTCTAATAATGAGTAATTACTACATGTTATTTCCAATGTGTCTTTTGAGTTCTCTAAAACATTTTCTATGTTATTTCTAGGGTAATTCTATTTGCACCACCCAATTTGCTATTTACACCACCTATTTATATATGTATAATAGCTTTATAGGTGGTGCAAATAGAAAAGTCCACCATCATTAAATGTGGTCAAATATTAATATTTATTATTCATTTTTTTAACCTTCAAAATATTAATTAAAAAAAAAAGAAAAAAAAAAGAGAAGATGACCAATCGTTATGCCATAGAACCGTGTTCACCATGCCAACGGCGTTAGTGCACCGTTATCTTTTTTTTTTTTTCTCCTTAATTAATCGCGTGACTTTTCTTCTTCATTTTCACATTTCGCGGTTTCACTTTAATTTGAGGTGAGCAATGATTTCGGACATTCATAAATTATGAATCCATGCCTGCACATTCACTTTGGAGCCATGCCTACACATTCCCGTCCGAAAGCATGGTTGCTCCTCTGTAGCGCAAGCTTCTTCAACATTAATAAATTATGAATTTTCTGTTAGGAGATTATGAATTTACAGTAAATTCATAATCTCATCATAACAGAAAATTCATAATCTAATAAATGTTTTTCTTTTATGCAATTTTGAATTTTTTGTTATGAGATTATGAATTTACAGTACATTCATAATCTCATAACAGAAAATTCATAATCTGACCAAACGCGCGCCGTTAACACCACATTTGCGATTTTTTTTTAACGTAAAACGGCGCCGTTTGGACCCGTGTTCACCATTCATGGTGAACACATTTCCAGGGCATAATTTGTGGAAGATGACGGGGTGGGTTACCCAGGTAGTTTCTACCTGGGTCGCCTTCTCCGGTGAGAAGGCGACCCACTGGGCTAGTTGCAGGGCCGTCCCTGGGCATGTCTGCCCAGGGCAGGCGCACAGGGCCCCCAAAATTTTGGGGGCCCCTTAATTAAAAAAAAAATATAGCATATATAGGCTTTTGCTTTTGGACTTCAACCAATTAAAGAAAGCCCAATGTTAGTGAACCTTTCTTTAAAAAATCAAAGCCCACTTGGCCACTTTCACACCAACATACGTAACAAATATCTAAATTAACCTAATCTAGAACCTATTAACTATATAACCTATATTAACCTAATCAAAATTCTAAAGTTTCACAAACAGAAAGTCGGAAAGAGAAATTTTCAAAAAAAAAAAAAAGAAAGTCGGAAAGAGAAATCACGGAAGAGACGAGACTCAAACTACAACAAATTGCTTACTGCCTAACAATTTAGGTATTTGAACTTTTATTCTTTTAATTTGAGAGTGCTATTTGTGAATTCTAGGTATTTGAATTAATTCAAATATTGAATTTTTTTAATTTGAATATTTGTGTATTTGAACTAGATTAGGTAATTTAAATTTGGGAAAGACGACAGATTCTACTCGTGTGATACTGATTCTCCAATTCTCAAACTCTCAAGTTCTTCAATTCTCTTGATAGGTAATTAAAATTACGTATTATTTTACAATTCTTGTTTATTGTTTTATTTACATGACTTAATAATTCTGATTTCAGAATAATATATTCAAGAATTTGTTTCTTGATTAATTATCTATTCATAGGTTTCTAAATAAATTTTTATTTTTTCCTTAGGATTTTATGTCTTCTAGAAAATATTCATCTGGATTTTTGAAGACAACTTTTTGAACAATTATTATTTATATATAAAATTAATTGAAAAAGGGGCCCAAATTCAAATATTGCACAGGACCCCAATTTTTATTGGAACGGCCCTGGCTAGTTGCCATCTCCCGTGGGAAGACAGTGCCTTCTCACTGGAGAAGGTGATGTTTATTTTTTTCTTAAAAAATATTTTAATTAATTAAATTTTGAATTAACAAATTATTAATTACAAGTTTGATCAGGTGGTGCAAATAGCAAAATGTATCCCATAGGAAGAAGATATGGGTGAAGGAGATGAAAAGAGAGAAAGAAGAAGAATGCATCTTGAGCTTTGGGAGAGTTATCAATGGCGGCTTAGCTGAGAACCAGAAATCAAGAATTGAATTAAAGAAAGAAGAAGAACGCATCTTGAACTATAGGATCTGTTCTCCATCATCTTCGACACCAATCAGGCTTTCATAGTCACGGATCGAGATGCATGAGGGGACTGTTGTTCAAGAAGATAGACCACCTGTAGTTGATTTTCTGAGTGGGGTGTTTTTTTGTTTTGGTGTTGTAGATGTAACTAGCTGTTAACATAGTAAAACCAATTAATGTATACATTGTTCCAACTAATGGTGGTAATGTTAGTGGCCATATTCAGGGTAAAAGAAGGTTTCGGCAAGAGCAATTAGAATCAGTGTTTCAAGTATTATGTGAATTCCAATGTGTCATTAAATCTTTTAATGTGTTTTGGCCTGAGCAAATATTCAGATTTTGTGTTGTTGACAATAAATGTGATATATTCTTTGTCGTTTTTATGAGTTTGGGGTTACAAGTTGTCAGGTTGAAAAGTTAATTAGCAATTTTGTTGAATTCTTCTAAACATATGAAGGTTAGGAGATGCCGTCTTTCATCGTGAGATGGAAGAAGATGGTGTTGAGTTGAGGCAACGTTCATGGTAGTGTTTATATTTTTGTCCTTCATCAAGAATGGTTTGGTTTGGTGTGTTTGTCATTGCATATATGAGCTTTGAGGGAAGAAATGAATACTTCATTAAACTTTCACGGTTACTATAAATTTTACTTTGTTAATTTTTGTTTGTGAAACTATTTGTTGGTTTTTGTGGGCAAATAATGCTGTGCATCCGTATCCACCATGCATGGTGCATACGGATGCAAAAACGACGTCGTTTTATTAAAAACGCGCAGCTCACCTAAAAGAAAAAAAATTCTGTTTTGATTCCCAGCAACAACATTATATTGTGCATAATTTGAACTATATATCCAGAATCAATG